CGTTTTTGTGTTATATACTTTCAAAACTTACAACGTTAATTTATTTTTAACTCAATGACCATATTCAAATTCAAGTACAAATAGAAATTTTGACCTATTACAAGATAATATAATATTTTCATTGTGATGTGTACATATTCATATAATTATCAAAACCATCTTATCTATCACATTCAATCAAATTTCAATCCATTATCTTAATATATAAAAAATTTACACAATTTTCACCATTTATTATAATGTTTTTGAAATGTAACAATTATTTGTTTCGTAGTTTATGCATATGTAGTCCATTTTTACATGCTTATTTTAATACTTAAAAGTTTTCTCAGTTGTTTGCTGCAACTGTAAATGAATTTTGCCATTAATGCTGAATTTTGTCATAATGAAACTTGGAGCTAACCATAGATTTTATCCTTTTTCGCTTTTTTTAATCAAGTTCTCAAATCAATGATTACGCTTGGAATATTCGGTATGTTTTCACGATTTTATTTAGTTAGTTAATCAGTGAAAAAGGAATTTCTCTTAATAAAGAGTCAATAATTTTTTATAGTATTATTTAAACATTTTTTACTAACTTTCTCTCGTGTTTTAATTATTCAAAATTGATAGCTGGCAAGTCTATGCCAATTTGAAAATCGACAAAATAAAAACTGTGCAACATCATGATTTAGGGATAGAGGATTTCAGAGTATTAATTTCATCTTAATGGCTAAAAATGCTATTGAAAGTATTTTCTGTGCCTTATTATTATCAACAGAAAAGACATCGAAAAATTTCATTACAACTGTACTACAAAGGGATAAAATTTGATTCCAGATTATATCTGTATTAGAGACTGGATTTATGAATATGACCCATAATATTTTGCCCTACACTGTTAAAATTTCTATTCTAAAATTATGGTAAAATAAATGGCAGCTACCTGTCCATCTGATTAACTGTAAAGTTTAAGGTAAAGAACATTTTTTCCTTTATTGTTTTGAAACCATTTACAAGAAATATGGTTATAAAACCACGAATACAAAACTATACTGATTTTTAACCATTTACTACAGGCATCTTTCAAAATCGTAAAAAAATAATAATTATTATTTACTAAACATAGGAGCTCGGCTTTTCGTAAGGTAATGGGTATTGGAGAGTGCCGGACACTGGTAATTCTTCGGGTGTTGAAAGAAATGGAGGAAATATTGTGGTGTCAATACTAGGACTCGAACTCCAGTTCTGCCTGTCATGAGATTGACTCATAAGCCCTCTCGGCTATGATATGCCCGTAGTTGCAAAGAACTAAGTAGCTTCATTTGGTGGTTCTAATTGGTGCGATAAAATTCAGGTTGTTTAACCGTATTAGGTGAAAGTAGTTAATAAACAATTTTTCTCTAACTTAACAGTTTGATTACCATTATATTTACGGTTATTAGACTGTTTTGATTAAATATGGTAAAATAACCATTCAATAAATAGCTATTTAACCATTTTTTCAGAGAAATTTCTAACAGTGTAGCCGTTTTAATTATATTTTACAATCAAATATATATTTATATTTTATTGGATTGAAACAAATTTTTTATTTTGCTTTTGCCATGTCAAAAAGAGCATAATAATTTAGTGTTTCAAAACTTTTTTTTTTGCTTATTTTGAATTTAAAAAAACAAAACAAGTGAACAACGTTTTAAAAGTTTTTCTGAGCTCAAAAGATCTTTGTTTCAAATGTTAATAGATAAAATGTCGATTTATTTCTATTCATATAAAACTTTAGCTTTGAAACACGTTTCTCTTTTTTTCCTGCTCGTGACAATGAGATAGCTTTTAATGGTCCTGGGTTAAAAAATATTATACATATTTTTGATCTTATGTTGCAAGCTGAGTTATTTTAATGCGTGAATTCCGATTTCCTTAGATGCTATATATATAATGTACGTTATGATGCGATACACTTTCAGATCGTATAAATGCAAAAGCTAATATTAAAACCAAATTAGATCTGAAGTATTAAATTCATTTACATATACCGTCGATGGAATTAAGCAGGTAAGTGGCCTGTTTAGTTAATTAGTATTTAGAAAATAATTAGAAATTTTTAAAAAATTATAAAAGGCCATTATATTCCAATAAATGCGCTCAAATGCTGCAAATCAAATATATATATATATATATATATATATATTATAGCAAATTCAAATGATTCTAAATACTAAAAAAGTCTAATAAAAAGTGCTAATATAATAGATAAAAGTATAGATATAAATAATAAAAAATACAATGTGTTGCAACTCATCAGCTGCCACCAACTATAATATATACCAGGGGTTTCCAACTTGCATGAGGCCGGGGGCCACTATTAGAAGCACAAATCAAATGGCTGGCCGCAACATCATCAAAATGTTTTATAGGACTCTTTTATGTTTGAAGGAACATTAAATATTACTGTCAGAGTTTTACCAAGTTGTACAAAACAAAAGTATTGAATTACAAATTAAAATAGGAAGTAGATTTTTAAAAATATTTAATTGTTATTAATAACATTTTNATTAAAACTCTACAACAAGGGGATAAAATTTGATTCCAGATTATATCTGTATTAGAGACTGGATTTATGAACATGACCCATAATATTTTGCTCTAGCAGTTTTAGTTATATTTTACAATAAAATATTTATATTTTATTTGATTGAAACAAATTATTTTATTTCGCTTTTGCCATGTCAAAAAGAGAAAAACAATTTAGCGTTTCAGAACTTTTTTTATGTTTATATTAAAAAAACAAATCAAATAAACAACGTTTTAAAAGTATTTTTGAGCTTAAAAGATCTTTGTTTCAAATGTTAATAGATAAAATATCGATTTATTTCTATTCATAAAAAACTTTAGCTTTGAAACACGTTTTTCTTTCTTTCCTGCTCGTGACAATAAGATAGCTCTTGATAGTCCTGGTTTAAAAAAAAATTATATATATTTTTGATCTTAACGTTGCAAGCTGAGTTATTTGAATGCGTGAATTCCGATTTCCTTAGACACTATATATCTAGCGTACGTTATGATACAATACACTTTCAGATTGTATAAATGCAAAGCTTAATATTATAACCAAATTAGATCTAAAGTATCAATTTAATTTATACATACAATCGATGGAATTAAGCAGGTAAGTGGCCTGTTTAATTAATTAGCATTTAGAAATTTTTTAAATGATAAAAAGCCATTATATTCCAATAAATGCGCTCAAATGCTGCCGACGAAAAGTAGAGCAGATATATATTTATATATATATATATGCATATATTATAACAAATTCAAATGATTCTAAATACTAAAAAATGTAATAAAAAGTGTTAATATAATAGATAAAAGTATAGATATAAATAATAAAATATATAATGTGTTGCAACTCATCAGCAGCCAATATACCTTTAAAGCAGTGGTTACCAACTGGCGTCCCGCGGGCAGCTTCCGGCCAGCAAAGCCTCTTTCTGGTGGCCCGCGAACTAAAATATATTAGTTGTCACATTTTGCGGACAATTTTCGTAAAAATCCATATGGGTTTTTAAATACTTTTCTTTCGTTTTAAAAAAACTAACTTCTGCGTTTCTGTGGAATTTAGCTACCAATGGTGCAAAAATATGTATTTCTCTGGTTTTGCATCCAAGAAAATGTTTATTCAAACACAAAATTAATCCTGTGTGTTGTTTAAAAATCTACTTATCATTTTAATTTGTAATTCAATACGTTTGTTTCGTACAACTAAATATAAATCTGACAGTAATATTTAATGTTCCATTAAACGTAAAAGAATCCTATATAAAATTTTGATTAAGTTGCTGCCCGCCAGTTGACTGATGTTTTAATTGCGGCCCCCAACCTCATGTAAGCTGGAAACTCCTACTTTAATGGAAACAAATAATGCCATTGAACTGTTCAGTCAATAGTAACATAACCTACAGCTATTCCCCTCGACGCAGTGTGCTGTTTGCCACGTTGCTACAACGAAACCCGACACTTTTTTTCATTCAAAGGTATGTATTTTTTATTATTGTTGGCTACTCGTGAGTTAAAACACTTTTTATTAAATATTTTTTTATTATTTATATCTTTTTGTTGCAATGTATATACATAATATATATATAAGCATGCACACATACACACGCACATATATATATATACAGTTTTTTCATTGATCACAAGCGTGAGAAATTAAAAAATATCTGGACCTATTTTATGAATGAAATATTAAAAATGTTTCCCTTTCTTTCATTTGACTTGGGGAACAATTGGGAATACTTGTGAAACTTTCCCCTATCTTGAAATAGTGGGACACACGACGATTGTTAGTGTGATTTGGATTCTCACTATGGTAATAAATAAAGAATGGTGTGTTTTCCCCCGCTTCCCCCCACCTATGCCTACTCTGATTACATACTTTGAACAAATTTTGAAAACCCGAAACAGGATCAAAATATTTAACATTTTAAACAAGATAAGTAGTTTGTTCTGAATTCTTCAAATGATACTTGATTAAAGAGTTCTTAAAATAATTATTTATTCGACGATTTTTAATGTATAGTTTACGAACTTTGTCCAAAATAAAGACAAAAGTATATACAGGGCTCACAAACTAATATTGAAACGAAAACATATAAATTCATTATTGAAATCAGCTGAATCCTTTGTGCTGAATCTAAGATCTGTGATCTAAGAAAGATGGGATAATGCAGACACCAGGTTGATTTTTTGTCGAAATGTGGCGGCATTTTCAAAAACTATCATCCGATTCCTTTCTGTTTTTTTCCAAAATTGTTTTTGTTGTTTTCACTCTTTAGTGAGTCGTTAATTTATGTAAATTTAATGTTTTTTTCCCCTTTTAAGTATTAATGCACGAGCTTTAAAGCACATATTTTTCGGTTACTTTTTTGCATGAATTTGTAAGACACACATTAAGACACTGTAATAACGTAACACTCTTTTCTTAATCTAAGATTGCAATTTTCGTTTTTCAGTTGAAAAATGTATGATATTATAAGAGAAAGTTCATATTTACCGCCACCGTTTGCAAACTCTCCTCTTTTTCCTTTACTGCTGATGTCATTGGCCGCGCAAAAAAATGCTCCCTCAAACACCCAGACAGCATCATCTATCAGGTCTTCATATGATTTTATTGTAGGTAAGAAAATACTATTTGTATTAAAGTGAACTTGCCGCGCAAATAATCAAACTATGCACACTTAAAATCAATAATAACCTCATGTCCTTTCTGTATATAATGAATTGCTGCCAATAGATAAAACCAGACTGAAATTATCCGGCTATTGTTTTTTCTAATTTTCATTTTAATGTTTTGTTATCTCCATTTATTATTACATAAGTGATGTTTTGAAGTTTGAGAAACAAAGCAATAATATAGAGTTAAAGATGCTTGTTTCTTCAAACATATATATATATACCGAAGAGCCATTACATTATGACCACCCTGCTAATAACATGTAGGACCACCTTTAGGCCTCAAAGCTGCTAGCACCCGCCATGGCATTGATTCCACAAGGTGCTGATAGGTAATCTGAGGTATCTGGTACCAAGCTCTCACCAACTGGTCCTGCAATTCCCTCACATTGGGAGGGGGTAGCGTGGCTGCACGAATTTGGTTTTACAAGTTGGACCACAAATGCTCAATTGGATTAAGGTCAGGTGAATTAGGGGGAAAAGACATGACTTGAAAGCCATTGGAATGTTCCTCGACGATTGAACCCTTATGACATGGTGTATTATCCTGTTGGTAAACACCATTCCTCGTAGGAAAAACTGTTGCCATGAATGGGTGAACCTGATCTGCAACTATGTTCAAGTATCTCACAGACGTCAGGGATTGTTTTATGAGGATTAAGGCTTTAATGTGCCCCATGAAAGCATTGTTCCTGGGCGAGAAACCATGAAAACCTGGGCGAGCCCATTGTTATAGATGGAGGGTGGTCATAATGTAATGGCTCTTCTGTGTATATTATATACATATATAAGATCTATATATAAGATGATATCTATTTTAAGATGAAATAAAACAAGATAAGTTATAACTTCACATGAGAACTAAATGGATTATTACACTAGAAGAAAACCGAAAAGCAGTAATAGGAAATAACAGACTAAAAATCACCTTGTAAATAAAATTAAAAGTCAAAAAGTATTTATCAGGAAATAACATCCAAAAAAATGAAAATGAAAAAAAAACAAACTAAAAAAGAAATTGAGTGGAGGCACTGACATACATGGCAGCTTCATTAGGGGAGCATTACCATGCAGACAGTGCGAGAGCAGTTATTGCGCGGTTGACGATAAGTTACCACAAACAACTATACCACCGACTGATTCAAGAAAAGCATTAACAAACAGTGACAGCAGGGCATACGAAGACAACATACAGAAACTTTGAAAATCGAAGTAGAAGTGCATTAATTTCCAGTTGGGGTACAGAATTTTTCGGTTGCAGAATTAGAAAGTTGCTGGTTCGAGAACATATCTGTTAAACGTTGTGATGCAATGCACTTTCGGAATGTGAAGAATGCACAATTATAACCAAATTAATATTATAACCAAATTAGATCTAAAGTTTTAACTTAATTGAAACAAGATAAGTACGTTTTGATATATAAATTGGCTTAATCTTATGTATTGGTTAAATTGCGACGAAAACATACATGCTGCCATTATTAATTTCAAAGCTCATCTAATAAATCCTAAAAATATGTGAATTATGTATCCATCTGATATTTAACAAAGTAATCTTCAGTTATTCTCTGTAAATGTTTTAGAATCAAGTTTTTAAGTTTTGGTTTGGAATACCTTTCAGTGGCAAAAACGTACTTTCTCTGTATAAATCTACTTCTTTTTACTGATTTTGAATTTCGTTTAATCAAAATATGGGGGTTAGCCGAAATCTGGCGAAAATGATCCCAGTAGTTTAATCAAACGAACGGCCGAAAGTTAGGATCCCTAAATGATAATTTTACTTTTTGCTGATTTTGCCATATCTCGAGAACTTTTTAAGCTAATCAAAAATGTTTTGCATGCATTTATAAAATGCGTGCATAACTGCAGTCAAAAAATAATTTTTAATCATCATTTATTATTTTATTTAATAATAATCGAAAAATTAAGCTGTATGGTACATAAATGTTTACATTACTTAAAATGATGTTATTCTTTTTTATGACGAAATAGAAAATTTTAACGAAGTCGGTCGAGTAGCGCTGCGGAATCGAGATTTGAATATAATTTTACTGCGCACTGTACGTTTCTACATGTATAGCTTACCTCAAAGCATAATAAATGGAAGTGTTATTCACACTAAATTTTCAAGAGATCAGTCTTGGAAATTTACAGTGCTGCATTTTGTATTTTTCACCATTAAAAAAATATTAATAGTTTTAAATATTGAAAACTTCATAAATTAAATCTGCCATATCATCGTTATAAACATAACACTAGCATTTACAGTAATACTCTACGTTGTCCTGACTAAATTAGTTAGTAGAACAAATAAATGATTCCAAGGATAGATAAAAAGGGACTTACAATTTTACTCTTTTTGCTGCCTTAAGCAACTCGCTAGTGCTAGCAGGTCTATTTAATTTCACCCAATATTTTTTAAATTAAGCATGATTTTGTCTCAATAGGCATTTTACTGCATTAGAAAGTAATGGTTAATTTAATGGAATAAATTTTGCTTTATACATTTAGTGGGAGCAGGATCGGCTGGTGCAACAGTTGCAGCTCGCCTGTCAGAGTTACCGTGTGTCAGTGTTCTTTTATTAGAAGCAGGTAAAAGACCACCAGTTGTGAATGATGTACCGTTTTTTGGAAGAGCGTTTTGGTTGACAGATCTAGACTGGACCTATAAAACAACTCCTCAAAGATATACGGGGAGATTACTTAAAGACAGAGTTTGTACCGTTTAAATACTTATCTCTAAATGAGCATGGTCCCAAGATGCAATCTACTTGTGTAGTTACTTTTCGGATCAATAGGCGACGCTTCTATAGTATAGTATGATAGAGCATACTACTAAGCAGAACTTAACCTTAAAAAAACATCCGTGTAGGGTAAACCGAGCAAATGTACACCAGAAAGTGGCACTTAACTTTTAAAAAAAATCATCAGAGTAGGGTATAACGGGTAAATGTATACCGGGCAGTGGTATTGAGAATGCATAACTAAAAAAGATTCATGCATTAAAAAATAAACGTCTAATACACAGGTAGATTGCATATTGCGATATTGCCCCCAAAATGTCAATCTATAGCTACATAATGACAATTATTGATCCATTTAAAATAAAAATAAAATTTTTAAATACTATTGATATGCAAGTTTTTAAAGTAATTTTTTAATATCCGGCATTGGATGCCGACTCAATTCTGAATTTACGACTACCAATGNACCCGCCGTGGCATTGATTCCACAAGGTGCTGATAGGTAGTCTGAGGTATCTGGTACCAAGCGCTCACCAACTGGTCCTGCAATTCCCTCACATTGGGAGGGGGTAGCGTGGCTGCACAATTTGGTTTTCCAAGTGCTCAATTGGTGGATCACAAATGCTCAATTGGATTAAGGTCAGGTGAATTTGGGGGAAAAGACATGACTTGAAAGTCATTGGAATGTTCCTCGACGATTCAACCCTTATGACATGCTGCATTATCCTGTTGGCAAACACCATCCCTAGCAGGAAAAACTGTTGTTATGAATAGGTGAACCTGGTCTGCAACTATGTTCAAGTATCTTACAGACGTCAAGGATTGTTCTATGAGGAATATGGGTCCTAATGTGCCCCATGAAAACATTGTTCCTGGGCGAGAAACCATGAAAACCTGGGAGAGCCCATTGTTATAGATGGAGGGTGGGCATAATGTAATGGCTCTTCGGTGTATATTATATACATAATATAATATCTCTATATAAGATGATATCTATTTTAAGATGAAATAAAACAAAATAAGTTATAACTTCACATGAGAACTAAATGGATTATTACACTAGGAGAAAACCGAAAGCAGCAGGAAATAACAGACTAAAAATCACTTTGTAAATAACATTAAAAGTCAAAAAGTTTTTAACAGGAAATAACATCCAAAAAAAATGAAAATGAAAAAAAAAACTAACTAAAAAAGAAATTGAGTGGAGGCACTGACATACATGGCAGCTTCATTAGGGGAGCATTACCATGCAGACAGTGCGAGAGCAGTTATTGCGCGGTTGACGGTAAGTTACCACAAGCAACTATACCACCGACTGATTCAAGAAAAGCAATAACAAACTTACAGCAAGGCAGACGAAGACTATATACAGAAACTTTGAAAATCGAAGTAGAAGTGCATTAATTTCCAGATGGGATACAGAATTTTTCGGATGAAATTAGAAAGTTGCAGGTTCGAGAACATATCTGTTATACGTTGGGTTGTGATGCAATGCACTTTCAGATTGTATAAATCTTAAAGTGTAAATCTGAATGTGAAGAATGCATAAGTTAATATAACCAAATTAGATCTAAAGTTTTAACTTAATTGAAACAAGATAAGTACGTTTTGATTTATAAATTGGCTTAATCCTATGTATTGGTTAAATTTCAACGAAAACATACATGATAGTGCTGCACTTTGTATTTTTCACCATTAAAAATATTAATACTTTTAAATATTGAAAACATCATAATTTTAACCTCCCATATCATCTTTATAAACATAACTCTAGCATTTACAGTAATACTCTACGTTGTCATGACTAAATTAGTAGAAGAAATAAGGGATCCTAAGGATAGATAAAAAGGAACTTACAATTTTACTCTTTCTGTTGCCTTAAGCCACTCGCTAATGCTAGCAAGTCTATTTAATTTCACCCAATATTTTTCAAGTTAAGTATGGTTTTCTCTCAATAGGCATTTTACTGCATTGGAAAGTAATGGTTAATTTAATAGAATAAATTTTGTTTTATACATTTAGTGGGAGCAGGATCGGCTGGTGCAACAGTTGCAGCTCGCCTGTCAGAGTTACCGTGTGTTAATGTTCTTTTATTAGAAGCAGGTAAAAAACCACCAGTTGTGAATGATGTACCGTTTTTTGGAAGAGCGTTTTGGTTGACAGATCTAGACTGGACCTATAAAACAACTCCTCAAAGATACACGGGAAGATTACTTAAAGACAGAGTTTGTACCTTTTAAATACTTACCCCTAAATGGGTATGGTCCCAAAATGCAATCTACTTGTGTAGTTACTTTTCGGATCAATAGGCGACATTTCTATAGTATAGTATGATAGAGTATACCACTAAGCAGAACTTAACCTTAAAAAACATCCGTGCAGACATCCGTTACCGCAAAGCGGGTAAATGTATACCAGACAGTGGTACTAAGAATGAATATTCAAAAAAGATTCATGTATTAAAAATGAACATCTATTACGCAGGTAGATTACATATTGGGATATTACCCCTAAATGTCTATCTACAGTTACATAATGACAATTATTGAGCCATATAGAATAAAAATAAAATTTTTAAATACTACTGATATGCAAGTTTTTAAAGTAATTTTTTAACATCCGGCATTGGAATACCGACTAAATTCTGAATTTACGACTACCAATGGTCAATTGCGTAGCCTTGTAATTTTGAATCCAACCCAGAAAACAAAACAACTCTTTGATCAAGCATTGTGAGAAACTAGCCTTCGTAGAGGACTTTTTCATGGAAGTAACCTGCATTTTCCTTAGCTTGCATTTACGTTACATGAAACTAACCTGCATTTGCGTTAGTTTGCATTGGTGTTACATGGAACTAACCTGCATTTGCGTTACATTGCATATAAATTCCCACACACAGTTAGCCCAGACAGAGAGGGAACTCTAACCCATGATCGGTCTATCACTGAGAAGAATTCCTGATCCTCAAAATAGAGGGGTTGACGAAATTTCGAAAAGATTGGATCATAAATTGGGGGGGGGAGTAGGAAACTACGTATATTTGACGTTTGCTTCAAAAAAACAGCCAAGCAATAACACCGCTGAAAATGAGTAATTTAAGACAGGCATAGACTAATTCAAGAGAGCAATTCCTAATTTTATTCCGCTGCTACGCTACCAAGTTCAGACAATAAAAGCGTATGGAATTTGTAATTGTTTGGAGAGGTTTATTTATTAATCGTTGATAGAAAAATAACTCGCAGTCTCTAGGCAATAGAAATTTTTTTAGGTGATTTCTGACCAAAAAGTAAAGATTGTTTTCCTTTTAATCTCGTTTGAAAAAAAAATTTGAATCGATTTCTAAAATATTTATGATTTTTCAAACTTGTAGAGTTTGAACACATGGATTTTTTATCTGACATTATTTGCGTTTTTTACTTCATTTTTATGAGGATTTTATACAAAAATCAAATTTACTTAACTTATTATAATCATATAAAAAAATTTAGGGACAATAATTTTTGCAGCTTTGACAGAAATTTACGAGTCATCTAGACAAGAAAGTTGTTTTAAGAATTAGCAGAATAAGTTTTTTTCTTACTTTTTTCGCCACCAAACTATATGTATGAACCAAATTAAAAATCTTAGGGACCACTTTTATTAAATTACTATGCCATTGGTCCACGACCGCTCAGGCCATAACGCAATAGATGGCATAGCTCCATGCCCCTGTGTGTACCCTTCAGAATAATAGTATTTCTCTTTATACAAGTCTAGGAACAGCCAACGCTGATAAAGTTCATTTTTTCATTTGAAAGATGGTAACATCAATATGACTTGAGTTCATAAATAACTTGATATAATTAAGTAAAAGTATATTAAGAAGAGGGCGCTGAACATTGAGTAGACCTACTTCGATGTTCTGCGTTGACAATATTACTGTAAAATAGGGTTCTTTTGAGATAGGTGATGTTACTTTGGGAATGCCGCCTTTTTTTGGAGTTAAATGACTTTCAGAGATGACAAAAAATAAATTTTTTTCCTGATTTTTTAGTCAATCTCAAGTGCAGTATTATGTTATGAATCAACTGTCAGTTTAGTGAAAACTTATAATATTTAGTCAACAAAAATTGTCTTTTGATTGCTATTCTTTTGCTGTCTGCGTTCAACTTTTCCAAATCTCATTAGAGGTATACATTTACGGTATCATTATGGATAATCTAAGTTGGAATTCAGATTCCTAGCATAATGAACACCTTTTATTTAAAATTAATTACCTTTATATCTTTCACTTTATTTCGTATGTCGTGAAAACCATAAATATTGCACTCAGGGTGTAGTCAATTTTTGATTAAGTTTTGATCAAGAATAAGAGCAGTTATCATAATTATGAAAAAAAAACTGATATGGACATTGTATATTCCGATTTCACAATACTAGTGCAAGAGTTTACAATAAATTAAATAGCCTAATTTAATTATGACACAACGAATTAATATGAAATGTTCTGAGATGTTGTTGTTCAGTATTTGAGTAAACTGCATGGTAAGAGGATACTGAGATATGTCAATGAGAGTTGAGAAGCACCAGTTCTTGTTAGGTCAAAAAAAGACAATATATGTTGTTGTTGCTTGTCCTTTTAATTGGACAGATGTCAGATATATATATAATAACAGGGCTACATACCTGTTATCATTGGTGTATTCATATTAAAATATGCAGTCAAAGCCATAATAGGTTATCAAAAGGTTTATTAAAAGATATGCTGGTGGTTATAACAGTTCACATCCGCCCTCCTCAAAGGAAGTGGAGTGGACAAGACTTCGGATGGTTTCGACAGATGTATATTGGAATACGTTATTCAGCAAGAGACATGCGAAAACCTTCGCTCCCACTTTAAATAGCACAGAGATTGGTGTAATAAGGTTCCAGTCGTACATGCCTTTGTAGATCTACGCACTATGGAAAATCATTTAATGCTTCCTAATATGAAGTGAAAGAGGGAAAACATTCTGAAAATATCTCATCCTTTCAAATATAAATCTAATTATTACTCAATGGTATGTTTTCAGCCTTGAATTCCCAAAATAGAATATCTCTACCCTTACTCTTTAACAAAGACATTTTATGAAACCGAAAGAGTTTTAATGGCTTTATTAATACAAAAGTATTTTTAATTTTTGTATTACAAGTTCGTGATATGCCTGGTGTGTTTCAGAATGTTAGTCTACCTTTTCTTCGCTGTTGTACTGCGCGCATAGCCGCTGCTGGCCACTGTTTTGAACACTTATTGTAATCACATGCCATTAAATTTGCTTTTATAACTTAACTTCATCGTGCTCTGAGTGTTTTTGCCTCATATAAGAACATAAACTTTGACGCCCTCTAGCGGTTTTGCGTTTGGTTTTCGACCATGCATTCTTGCAAAAATTGTTTGCTTGGGTGTGTCCAAAAAATTTTGCCCATGTTTTTAGAATCACCCTAGTACAAATTAGTTTTCGTTGATTTTTTTTTCTTTGATAGCAAGTTCCTTGGCCTTTAGGAAAGGGTCTTGGTGGCTCAGGTCTAATAAATGCTGAGTTGTATGTCCGAGGAAATGAAAAGAACTACGATGATTGGGAACAGCAAGGAGCAAAAGGTTGGAGCTACGAAGAAGTACTACCATATTTCAAGAAGTTAGAAGATTTTAGATATCCAGAATTCTTATTAAATGGTAGTAAGTATTTACCGTCGATAAATAGACTTCCAAGCTTTAAAGTCTTGTAATTTATGCTAGAAGGGATATTTTCTAATTCTAAAGAAAAAGGTATTTTAAATAATACTTTGCAATATCTGATAAAAAATTCTTTCCATAAATTTAGCAAGAAATTATAAAAACCTTGAAAAATATGAAAAACATTCATTATCTACAAAATTACTGTTTCTGATTCAGTCTGAAACTACTCAGTTACATTGAATAGATGAAAGAAGAGCATTTACTAATTCAATACAATAAAAAACGAGAAATGAACAAACAGAGACAAAAAAAAATTTCAGATCACTTTTAGGTCTTTAAGTCCTTATCATTTACTACGGAAATGATTTTATATATTATAATAAAGAAAAAGAAATGCAAAAAAAAAAAAAAATAGGAATTGAGAACAAGGAGAAAATTCCTTAATGGAAAAATATTGTCTTTCCTTAAATTACTACTCTTGTATCGTTTTCTTCTTTTTTCTTTTAATTTAAGTTTAAGTTTTCTTTAAATTGTTGTTTTCTTTTCCAGGGCATGCAACAAGTGGTCCAATAACGATTGAGAAACCAAAATATTATCCAAAGATTAAAGGACACCTTTATGAAGCAGTTGAAAGCATTGGTTATGAAATACTTGATTCCAATGGCCCAAGACAAACAGGTTAGAGATTTGGTTAATATATTTCAAGAGCAATTTCAAAATGAGATGAAGAACGTAACTCGAATAACTTGATAATTTAATAAAAAAATTAAGGGACTAAAAATTTTTTAAGGGAGAATTTTTAATACTTTAAATTGATCCAATTTCCAGTTAGAATTCCAGTTAGGAGCACTTTCCAATTTTTCGGAATTAAATCGTGATAGTATCACAATATATAGAGCAGGGATGGCAAATCAATGGCACTCGTGCCATTTATGGCACGCGACACAATATTTTGGGCACTCCCCCGATCACAATTGTTGTTACACTATGAATTGTTATTACACAAATGTTATTACTCTATGAAGCATATGTAACAATTAAATTAAAATTCACAAAAAACAAACAAAATAATAAATAATTATTAATAGAAAAATTAAACATTAATGCTAAAAAAACAATTATTAACAGTAAAAAACAAGCTAACATTAAATAACTAGCAAAAAAAATCAACAGTCCTGCTTAAACTAACATCTTACAACCTAATATAAGTTATTGGTCATCTAATCTGCAACAACAGAAGTCACACTGATGTTACTTTAAGTTGAATTACTTGTATAACTGAGACATTGCAGAATGTATTTTTTTTCTATGTAAATAAAGAGTTTTGAGTTGATAGTATTTAGTATTATTCTCATCCCAATAATCACGAAGTTAAAATTATTTGACGGCACGTTTCTAACCTCATTAAGAAATTTTTTAGAGAAAATGGCACGTTGGTGTATAAAGGTTCGCCTCCTCTGTTATAGAGGAATCTTATTGCACATACAAAAATCGGCTTGATTGTTTAGCAAAAATGGTTTTCTGAACAGTTTTAAAATGGTGCTTATCATTATATAGCCACAAGCCTTTCAATTTAAAAATTAAATATTTCTTAAAATAATTATTTATTTTTCAAATTGAGCCGCTGGAACATTCTTTTCTCACTTCATTTTTCAGCAAAACTATTTGAACCCCAGTTAATATCAATTTAGGAAACAGAAGATAATTCAAAACTCAGTAATATTTAATATGCAATTTAACTATTTTTATAACAGAATAGTTTGCTTGTTATGATCTCTGCTCAAATTGTCAAAATTATCATAAACTTTCTCTACGCTGAACATAATATAATAAAAGTAAAAACGTTTTGTACACAATGCTGATCACATTGCCACAACCAATCCGTTGGCCATGGAATTGTGGAGACTGAACAGCCATGACCTCCCCTGGCACACAATGGGCTGTTATGGGAATGGTTTACTTTTTTCACTGAATCCTTATGATCTTTCCACAGTGTATTTCTTATTATTAGTATTAGATAAGAAAAAAAGGTTGGTACTATTTGTTTTCGCTTAATTTAAATTTGATTTTCTGGATTTAACCCTGCAAATAACTTCTTTTCAAATATAAACATTTAATAAGTACAAAAATATATAGATTTTTATAAGAGTTGTTTCTGTTTAGAAATGACTTGTTATTAAAATATATCATAAAAATTAAAATGTATCGCTTTTCCATTGAACTAAAAAATTAAAAACAATTATACTGACTGCTGGTGTTAATTATTGTAATGTATCACTGGTTGTAATGCTGATTATTGATGTTAATGAAGTGTATTACAAAAGTGATGTTCCGCACTGTAATTATTTCTGTTCTGGTGAAATATTTTGTGCTTATTTATGTTTTAAAGTGGACGAAATTTTGACTGGCGATAAATTTTGTAAGCATCATTAAAAAAGTTCGAATTATCATTATACACATAGTTGCAGTTGAAATTTGAGCATTCTAAGTTAATTAGAAAGTTGTCAAAATTATTATTGGATATAAGTGTTATTTAATTACACAAATTACATTTGTAGAGATCAAGAAATGATCAATACTACCATTACCATTCTACACAGTTCACTTTTAAATCTTTTAAATTAGTTGGAGTACGGTCGAAATTTCCATTGCTGATAAATTCTTTCTGAAGATAGCTGTAAAGCTATAAAATGTTCTTATAATAGGAAGGAAGGGACTGAAAGTTGAGATGTTAACCAATGCAGAGCTTCATTTACAACGTAAGCACTCTAGCTAATCGGTCAGTTGTCGAAAGTTTGATTGAAGATAAATTATTTTCTAGCAACAATATGGCTATGAATTTTATTTGGGACTAAGTTACAAGTAGAATTTATCACCTTATTTCGCTTGACAATTCTCAGGAAATAATTATTATTTAATTTGTCATCAATCTCGGAGCTCTAGATGATGATTAAACTATCGATACATTTTGAAAACGGTCAACATTTTTTACAAGTGATAAATAAACTTAGCGATAATATAGTGATAAATTCTGATTGTAATGTTCAGGAAATGATTGAAACTTGCATAGTCGTCACGCATGAAGGTACCCTTATTATCCGAACTTTGCAGTAAATTAGAAAGTTGTCAGAAATATGATAAGTGTTAAAGTTTCTTTGGCAATAACTTTGAGATAAGTTCTGCTTTTAGCAGTCGGGAAATGATTGCAAATAGTATTGTAATCCAGCATAGAACTTCAGTTAAAATTTGAGTGCTCTAACTAGTTTTAATCTTGTCAGAAAACTTTGGTTGACGAGAAATTCTCTTTGACTATTATTATTTAATCATTTATTTTGGTAGTGACCGAAAAATGATTGAATCTTGCATTGACTTCTTACAAAAAAGTTCAATATCGTTTTGAGTGCTCAAGCTTGTTGGAAAAATTTCTATATTTTGACTGTAAAATTCGATTGATACAAGCATTTATTAATCGAAATTCCATCACAAATATAACAAGATTCCATTGAGTTAATAAAAATATAGTAAATTTAAAATGGTATTTTTATTCATTTAGAAATGCTAAGTGATGAAAAATATGTAAATAAAAATAACAATAATTTTTTTTATTAATCTAATTTTTTGTAAAGTTATTAATAATTCACCCTTTTTAGTTTTCTTTTTGACATGTCTTTAACTAAAATGTCATATAATACCTAAAAAAATAAAATTACTGTGTAAATTAAAAGTTTCCGACATCAGAAATGGTGGCAACTATACACGAATTTTTTTACCGTGTGGAATTCCTTCAAAAATAACTCAAAAGTGTACTATAACTTTCTATTTGAACTCTTTGAGGGACGTTCTTAATTTTTAACTCAAAAATTTGTTCTTAACTTTGCAGTTTCTCCTAAAATGAATAACAAATTATTTTAGTTTACAGATGCTATAAACTATGAAAAATATGCAGAATAGTTTAAAAAGTTTTCAAAAGTGGCTCAAAAGTTATTGATAACTAAATGGAAGCCTGTTTTTTGGAAACATATGAATCTATACGAACAAGCGGACGAAAGTAATTCTATAAACAAATTGAACAATAAAAATAAGCTTCAGGAAAATTGCTCTAAAATTTTTTAATGTAATATATTTAATAAAATATGTAATATTTGTAATGTACGATATTTATTGTTTTTATAGGTTTTTATGATACGGAAGCAAATATCCGTGATGGTCAGCGGTGTAGTGCAGCAAAAGGATACTTAGTACCAGCAGAGAACAGGACGAATTTGCATATACTCCCAAATGCTTTTGTTCATAAGGTAAAAAAAATACAGGTTTTGAAGTGTAGGTATGCATAAAATAAAATAAATTCCTATTGTAGCGTTATATTTTTCAATTAATATAATTAATCAGATAAAAAATAACAAGAAACAAACGAATCATAATGACAACTCATGTAAAATGGCAAATGTAAATTCAGTAAAGTCAGCATAAAATGTAGGTGTAAATTCATACCATAATCTATCTATCTATCTATCTATCTATCTATCTATCTATATATATATATATATATATATCTAACNACAAAAAAAAGCCTCATTACAACTCCCCGAATGGCAACGCTAGAAAATCGACCAATGATTGCCGCTAAAAATGTCACATGCCAAATCTAGCAGAGGTGGCTCAACATATAGCGCTTTTAAAAACAGAAACTGAAATAACCAGAGAGAACTGAAATAACCTATCTCATACTATTAAGCTAGGCAGAAGTGAGTAGTCCTTGTCGATAGATCTCTATTTTAGTATTTTGTCGAAAGCGCTTTTTTTTACGAATTTATTTGACGATTTTTCATTTATATCACGAATTTATTTGTTTTATTACGAATTTATTCTAAGACTTATACTTATGTTTTTAACAAGGTTGTGAATCGTTCATGGTTATTATTTTTTAAAAATATAATGTTTTGTTTATGCAGGTTTTTCCATTGCAATTCACTTATTTCAATTGTTAATAGACTTAATTATAGCCAAAATTTTAACCTTTTTAAAGAGATATCAGTTTTAGAAATTTTATCTTAAGATTTTATACTATAGCACATTTCTAATGGGCTTAACGAATTACATGTCATTTATTTGAATTCAAATTTATTTTAATGACTTAGTATTTACTACAAAGATGTAATTTTTTTAAAAAAAAAAGTTGTTATATGGATTTGAATGATTGTTTTGAGAATTTTGCGCATTTGCAATGTACCTAAGTTAGTCGCGAGCAAAACGAGCTTGGCTTGCGAAGCAAACCATTTAAGATTGCGTAGCAATTTTCGGGGGTTGGTGAGCGTTAGCGAGCAGGGGGCGCAGCCCACTTGTATATTTTAATTCTTTAATAACTCGTTCCATATATATATATAACTTATGTTGCCTACTTTTAAATAAAATTAATTTTGTAGCAGATTTTCTATG